GCCCCGCCCCGAGAGGCCACCCAGGGACCCGCCCTGCGGTGAGGGGGCACCTCGCGCAGTGGGAACCAGCGGTGACACAAAAACGCAGCCCCAGGGACACAGCATCGCCGCGTGGCTGGGCTGCCCGGCTCCAGGGTCCTTGCACCTGCTGCAGGGCCGCAGTTTCCTCCGAGACAGAGGGCACCGCGGGGACCCCACGGTGGGAGGGTGCGGCCGGCGAGGTGCAAGTCCAGGTGCCCCGTGTGCTGCCCGGCCCGCGTGCTCGTCAGCGCGAGGAGACGGCACAGACACTGGAGGCTGTGGCGAGGCAGGGCCGGGGCTGGGTGCAGGCGGTGCGGGTGAGGCCGAGCAGCATGGGTGGACCGGCAGGGCTGCTCGCCGGGAACGTTCCTCTCCCGGCTTTGGTTTGGAGGAGCCTTGTCTAGTCAGGCGCGTTTGATTCCTGTTTCCACGTAAGCCCGCATGTGAGCGCGTGGCAGGCCTGTCACCTGCAGACCCTGCTCTGAGCAGAGCATGTCTGCCTCGGACACGGAGCCTCGGGGACCCCTCAGAGCACCGTCCCTGCAAACACAGGCGCTGAGCCGGGTGTGGGGGCACCTGTCCCGCGGGAGGGGGGCATGGCCACCAAGCCCCCCTCCTTCAATGGTCCCCACAGCATACACGGTCCTGTGCGTGGGCCCAGCCCAACTCTGCTCCAGCGATGCGGCACCCATCCCCTCCTGAGCCCATTTTCTGCCAGGAAAGGGCCTGTGCCCTGGCCCTGGGCACTCTGTGAGCACCGGCTTCTTGGTCTGCTGACACTGAAGACTGCTTCTCTGTGACAGATGTGCCCACCAGAGTGGGCACAAGTGTTGTTACGGCTGAGGCAGGACCACCTGGTCGCAGGCCCATTGGCCGGGCTGTGTCCCAGAGGTTGGCCCGCATGGCACTGCCCCACATGGCCTCGCCCCCACCCAGGCCAGACTCCCCTGCAGCCACATCTCGAGTCCAGCAGAAGCGTCCAGTGCTCTTGGATGCTTCTGTGATGTTTGGGACCCTGGGCACCGGGTGGCTCAACACTTGGGGGGCAGGACCCCAACCGTGGACGGTGGCCAGCTAAGTGGGGCGCTGGTGCCCAGGCCTCTTAGGGAAGAGACTTATTTAAAAACAAGATGAACAGGACGTTTCCGATGAGGACACACAAATGCCTGTTCCGGTCAAACAGAAGACGGTGCCTCTGCCTAGCCCCCCGCTCCAAGGCAGCTGGACCCGCAGGACCGGCAGCAGGCACGCGAGCACTTGTCCCCACGTACCGGGCATTCCTGCGGGGGATGGGACAGTCTTCTAAAAATACCTTCCCGTTCAATGTTCCAGAAATACCGAAGCTGCCGGTCCCTGTGACTCCGCCGCCTCTCACTCCCCGGGCTCCCGCCCCCTCGCTCTCCCGCAGACACCCAGCTCCCGGCGCCAGCCCCAGCGCCCTCATGCCTGCCGGTCGCACGGACACGTGTTCACACACACTTGTGCTTGTGTCGCACTTGCAGACGCTTGTGTAACTGCCCGGTCACATGGGTGACTCCGGGGACTGCACTTGGCCCAGTCAGGTGAGCGGGGCACCGGGACGCCCCGCTGGGGCCAGGCACAGCACGGCCCGCCTTGCGGGCACGCTGGGGAAGCAGAGGGAGGGAAGCCAGTGATCTGCAAGCTTAACCATTGCAGGTAACGCTAGAGCCCAGGCGGCAAACACGCGGGAAGGGCAGATTATCTGTCCTCGGTGCCAGCTCCGGCCCCTTCTCGCGCGCCGACACCGGCAAGCTCCGGCCTCAGCTCCAAGTAACGGGAGGCCTGATCCTTGTGGGAATGTCCCCAAGGTGTGTGTGACCTAACTATGACCCTGGGTCAATGTCTTTTAAAAAGGCTTCCTTTGCCTTAGCAGGACGTGTGAATCATCACTCCCTAGTCCCGCTCACAGACACACTTGCTGTGACGGCGCTGCCTGGCTGCTGTGCCACGTCACTGCCCGCACAACAGATAAGGCCGCAGCCTTACCCCGGGAGCTGGTGGGGAGGTGCCACGGGCGGAGTCGAGCATCCTCTGAGGCAGAGGGGCCACACAGGTGCTGGGCCCCAGCTTCTCGCGCAGAGGGCCAGGGCTCCTAGGGCGATCTCCAGCCTGTGTGTGACCCTGGCACGGAGGTGGCTCTGTGGACTGGACGGCCCAGGGCCCGGAGGTGCTGCCCGGAGGAACCTGGCTGGTGGTGGGTGCGGGTGCCAGGGCCAGGCTCGGGGTCCCCTCTCTGCTCACGGAGGTCTCATGTGTTTCCGAACCAGATGAGGAAGCACCTAAGGGAGCCTCCATCTCAGATCCCAGTGCCTGCGGGCGCCGGTTTGGTGAAAGCCGACTGCTGGAACGGACACTTGTGGGAGGTTCCGGCCACGGGCCTTGGCCTCATGTGGTGCCCGTCAGGTCTGACCCCCACCCAGATCTCGGGGGTCTTGGGGAGCTTCGCAGTGGAGCCGCTCTACTGCTGAACAGAGGGCGGATCCCTGTGTGTCCAGGGCCAGCGTCCCCGGGGCAGCACCCCAGTCTCCATGGGAAGGAAGGGGCGGAGCCTCCAGGGAGCAGTGCAGAGTTAGGGCTCCTCAGTGCCCGCCTGGCCCCGCGGGGTTCGTCCACACCAGAGATGCAGCGTTGGCCACCGTGTCCCCTGAGCCTGCTGTCTCTCCACGCCTGTTCTTGCTTGTGTCCATAGAGAGCTTTGGGGTGTCGGGCACGTCCCTTCTGTGTGGACATAAGAACATGGGGCCAGGCTATTTTCCGGGGGCTCCTGGTTCAGCCTCCTGACACTCGGCGGTGGTCACTTCCCGGCGGATCACGGGTGGGGGAGCAGGGCCTCTTCAGCGCACCCACGCGCGCCCGGCCTGGCCAGGGCGCAACGGCCCAGCACCGCAAGGCTGAGGCAGGGCTGGGCGCTTGCCGGGCGCGCCCCGCCTTGGGTCACTCACCCCATTCGGGTCCGCACTCCGCGCAGGGGCCGGCCCCAGCCTCGGCAAAGGGGCGGCGGCCCCCGGTGACCACGGACACCCGGAGACCACGGACACCCCGGAGACCACGGACACCCGGAGACCACGGACACCCCGGAGACCACGGACACCCCGGAGACCACGGACACCCGGAGACCACGGACACCCCGGTGACCACGGACACCCCGGTGACCACGGACACCCGGAGACCACGGACACCCCGGAGACCACGGACACCCCGGTGACCACGGACACCCGGAGACCACGGACATCCCGGAGACCACGGACACCCCGGTGACCACGGACACCCGGAGACCACGGACACCCCGGAGACCACGGACACCCCGGTGACCACGGACACCCGGAGACCACGGACACCCCGGAGACCACGGACACCGCGCGCAACACGGCGGCGGACGGAGGTTTCGGCACGTCCCTCCCCGCGGCTGGCCGCGAGGACCCGCGGGATGGAGCCCGCGTCAGCGCCCGTCCTCCGCCGCCCCGGCCCCGCGCGGACGCCGCGCCGCCAGACCAGGCCAGGGGCCGGCGGGGCGCTCCCCGCGGACTCGGAGCCGCTGGCGGCAGGACCCGTCCGCGAGCCCCAGCGCCGGCCCCGCCCGCCGGGCCCCGCCCCCGGCCCCGGCCCCGCCCCCCCCGCGCGCCGCCCTGCCCCGCTCCGGGGTCCGGACTCCAGCTCCCAGCATGCCCCGCGCCGCCTCCAACTCCCGACGTGCCCCGCGCCGCCTGGGGGCCGCCGGGACGCAGCCCCGCCCTCTTAAAGGGGCCGCGCCCCCGACACGGCGTGCCCGCGAGCGCGGCGGCCCCCGGTGCCCCGGCCGCCCCCCCGGGGCCTGCGCCGCGGGGCGGGAGGCGCGGACGCCGCCCGCCCGCCAGGACGCGCCGCGTGGAGGCCGGGAGCGGCGCCGCGGGTAGGCGGGCCGGGGCGGCGGCGCGGGGCCGACGTGGCCGGGCGCGGGGCGGGCTCCGCTCCGGCTGCGGCTCCCGGGCCCCCGGCGGCCCCGCGCGGCCCGCGCGCCTCGGAACCGCGCCCGCCCCGGCCTGCGCGGGGCGCCCGGGCCCGCCGGGCAGCGGCCGCCGTCCCTGGGGCTGGGGCCGCGCGGGGCCGGCCGGGCTGGGCCTCGGGTCCCGACCCCGCGGGGAGCGTCTCCCGGGGCCGGGCCGGGCCGGGGCGGGGAGGGCCGGGGAGGGCCGGGGAGGGCCGCGGGCGCCCGCTCGCTTCCCGGCCCCTCCCGGCCCCTCCCGGGCCCCGCGCAGCCCCGGGGCCGCAGCCCGCGCCGGCCGAGCCGCGGGGCCGGTGGCGGGGGGGGGGGGGGGGCTCCGATTTTAAGCCAGTTCCTGCAGTTCTCATCAGTCTCCCTTTTCCAGGGAGAGCAGACGGCTCCGGCTGCCCCGGCTCGCCCGCGCGGCTCGCCCCCAGGTCAGCGCCCCTGGCGGGCTCGAGGCCGGTGAGCGCAGCAGCCGCGCCCTGTCCGCGGCCCCTCGGGCGGCCGCCGGGGCCAGGCCCGCGCTTCCCCGGACAGGAGAGCCGAGGGGCTTCTGCGCCGCGCCCCTCCCGGGACTCCCTGCCCTCGCGGCGGGCGCAGGTCCACGGTCCCGCCGGGCTCACAGGCTCGGGCCCTGCTGCGGGTCACTCCGGGTGACCCGTGCTGGCCTCCACCTGCCCCTTCACACTGCAGGGCAGCCCCGCCCCGCCCCCATCGGGGTTCCTCCCTGCTGGCACACGCCAAAGGGGAGGGTGGAGGCTGCACCCCTGGGTCCTTTGTTTGGGGGTCTCTGTGCTCTGCTCCAGACATCCGTCCTGGCCTTGCGTGTGTGGCTCGTAGTTCCACTCGCGATTCGGTGGTGTTGGGAGAGCGGACAGCAGCCTGGGGCAGTGCGGGAGAGGCCCGCGGCCCTGGCCTGGGAGGCACGGCCCGAAACAGGCTCGCCTAGGAGCGCGGGTGCTGCTGGGCCTTGGCGAGCAGCTGTGGGCCCGTCTGGGGCTCACGCTCGCCGCCGCCTCCTGCTCGCTGTTTGCTGCTTCGGCACTGGCCCCAGGAGTCGCCACACACCCCTGACAGCAACTCTCTCTTCCCTTCCAGCTGAGCCCGTGATGTGCGCTCTGCACTGCAGGCGCCCGCGACGGCCATGAGGGCCCTGGAGAGCTCGCTGCTGTGGGCGCTGCTGCCCGTGCTGCACTCACTGGCTGGCGCGGCGGAGCACGCCGAGGCTGCCCAGCAGGCCATCGAGCTGGACCGTGGCCGGGCAGCGGCCCCTGCCTCGCGGCGCCAGTGGACCCTGGGCCACTGCAGGAAGCTGTCAGGGCTGTTGCGCCAGAAGTCGGTGGCAGTCAGCAGGCTGAGGGAGGCCGTTGCCGCCGTGGGGCAGCGCACCCGCCTGTCCGCTGAAGAGAAGCTGTTCCAGGTGCACACGCTGGAGATCTTCCAGAAGGAGCTGGATGAGAGCGAAAACTCCGTATTCCAGGCCCTTCTCGGGCTGCAGCGGGCCCTGCAGGGCGACTCCAGGGACCTGGGGAACATGAAGGAGAGCAGCCGGCAGCGCCTGGAGGCCCTGCGGGAGGCGGCCATCAAGGTCCGTCCTCACGGCTCCCCGCAGACAGGGGGCCGGAGTGGGGGGATGCGGCCCAGAGGTGGGGGCGGGGTGGGCCCAGGATCTTGGCGTCTACCCGTCACTCGCTGGTGGGTCCCTGTGAGTCAGGTCGTTGCTCCAGTTCTCCCAACAACTCTGAGTTTCTGGCACGATTCCCGTCAGCGTGAGGTTCGAGGCTTCTCCAGCGCTCACTCGGCCACAGTAAACTATGTCACTGCACGTTCCAACTGAGGATCTTGGCACGGGTCACTTTCTTCCACATGCCAGTCGGGGGGATGTTGCTGCCGCTGCCACCTCCCACATGCCGGCACTTTGAGGCCACAGGTGGCTCGGCCTCCGGCCACAGAAAGGACAGGCGGGCAGGCGTGCCGGGGGCCAAAGTGGGGCGGTGGCTCCCGTGTGCTGCCTGCTTGGGGCTGGCCCCGAGGCGGGGGCTCCCACAGTTGGGACACTGGCGCTCCTTGGGCATCAGTGGGTACCCAGGCCCTGACAGGGTGGCTTGCCGTGAAGAACCAGGAAGCCTGCTTGGCCAAAGGGTGAGAGGGGAGGCCCTCTGCCCATCCCTTCGGGCGCGAGTAGGCGTCTAGCAGCCGAGGCGAGGTTGGGCGCACTGGTACGTGCGTTAAACTCCGTTAGTGGCCACCCCACCCAGGTCTAACGGGTCAGAGTCCCTGTGTCCCCTGGAGGCAGCGTGACTCCGCCTACTTGTCGAGCTGAGTGAGTGTGAGGCCCGCTGTAGCCAGGGCCCGTGGCAGGCGCTGGCCCTGTTCAGTGAGTGGGCTCCGTGGGGCAGCCACGCATGGGTGCTGCTGCAGGCAGCAGCTTTTCCTGGATGCTTTGCAGAACGGCCGGCGACGTGCAGCAGCCAGGACACTTGGGCTGAGTGGCCCTGGCGGCGGGCGCCCTGGGGAGGCCGCGCTGGTTGCCTTCATGCTTCACATCTCCCGACGCAGGAGGAATCAGAGTACGTGGAGCTGCTGGCCGCCGAAAAGCATCAGGCTGCAGCCCTCAAGCACGCGCAGCACCAGAACCGGAGCCTGTCCGTGCTGGACGAGGTCCTGGAGGACGTGCGCCGGGCCGCCGACCGCCTGGAGGAGGAGATCCAGGAGCACGCATTTGATGACAACAAGTCGGTGAGGGGCCCGTGGGGCTCACGGTGGGAGGGGCTCACCATGGTGGGGGCAACGCCTGGACCAGCAGCAGGCCTCGCCCTGCGCCAGCTACCCCCCAGCAGTAGAGCACGTGTTTGGGAGTAACAGAAACCCTAAATGGTTTTGTCTGTAGTTACTTCTTATTTTTTTAGGTTTATTTATTTATGCTATCAGATGCGTGGGAGGGTGAGAGGATTTCCCAGAGACAGAGCGGGGAGCAGAACAGGCAGACTGACCCAAGTACACTGCTGAGGGGAGCAGCGGGCGAGGCAGGAGAGGTCTGCCTCGTGATGTGGGTTGCTCCCTGGCCGGGGATTAAACTTGAGCTGCAGTGGCAGCGGACTGCTTCATAGGTTGCACCTTAACCCTTACACCACCAGGGAGGCCTTTTAGTCACTCCTTTAATGGAAGAAAATCTCTGACGTGTCTGATTGGCCTTTGTTGGTCCCGCCTCTCTGGGCAGGACACCAAGGCCACCTTCCTGGGCCCCGAGTGCTCTCCAAGAGCTTGGTTGGTGTCGAAGACACAGTTTGGTTCTTCCCGCAGGTCAAAGGGGTGAATTTCGAGGCGGTTCTGAGGCTGGAGGAGGAAGAGGCCGATTCCAGGCAGAATCTCACACGACGGGAGGCGGAGGGCGGCCTGGGCCTCAGCATGCTCATCGACTCCCAGAGCAACCAGTACATCCTGGCCCGGCCCCGCGATGCTACCACCCCCCGCGCGGACCACCACCTCATCAAGGTGGGCCCCCGCCTGCCCACGGCTCTGGGCCTGGCCTCCCTCCAGACACATGACCGGGGCTCCCGCCTCGTGTGCTCAGAACCCCTTCTCCTGCTCCCGAAGGAGTGAAGAATTTCAATATTTAAAATGAAAAGCACTCCACGGGTCTGGAGAACTATCCACACGGGGCGCCCGCCATGACGGGCTTACCTGTAGCCACGGAGCTTCGTCCTTCTCACAGGCACGGCTGGCTTCAGCGTTGCCTTCCCTGCTGAGGGCGAGTTCACATCCCTCTGACCGATCGGCCAGGGTGGACTTGCCAGCGCTGGTGCCCTGCAGGGGTGGGGTGGGGGCCCGAGGGCAGGCAGGCCTGCTGCCCAGCCTCCTTTCCTGCGCCCCAGTGCGTGTTGGGAGGAGCTTCGAGACACGGGTGTCCTGTCCTGGTGGACTTGGCTTCTGGCAGTGCCCTCCTGAGTTGGCTCTCGCTGCTGGTCTGTTGACTTGGGGGCTCTCCCAGGGCCCTGGGCCAGAAAACACTGAGTGTCCTCGCGCTGCCTCGGGGCTGTCACTGCGGCTGTGAGGCCGTCGGAGACCCTCGCGCACACAGAAAGCACCCCATGCGCGGCAGGAGGACGGCGCCTGGACACCGTGCCTGCCCAGCCCTGCTGTGCGCAGTCTGCCCACCCTGCCTGGCAGCAGCCGTCTGATGCCCGTCCTGTCCCCGGCAGGACATCGTCACCATCGGCATGCTCTCGCTGCCCTGCGGCTGGCTGTGCGCGGCCATGGGGCTGCCCGCCATGTTCGGCTACATCGTCTGTGGCGTGCTCCTCGGGCCCTCGGGGCTGAACAGCATCAAGGTGAGGACGAGCTTGGCCAGAGGAGAAGCCTGCGGGGCCCTCGCGGGCCATGGTATCTTGGCCGATGCGCCGACAGGCTCAGGGAGTGTGGGGGCAGGACCAGCCTCTGAGCCAGGACAGTGGCCCGATGGCCACCGCCTGGATAGAGCCCGTGTGGGCGGCAGAGGGCTGGTCGGCTGGACAGGGTCTGCTTGTGGGAGCCACACTCAGGTGTGCCCAACGCAGGAGGGCTCTGCGCCCAGCCCAATGCAGGAGGGGCGAGGGAGGTGGAGCTAGGGCCCAGGCCGTCTGCACTCTGGGGAGGTGCGTGGGCGCCCTCCGGCTAGTCCAGGCCCGAGCGTCTCGGCTGCAGGGAGTTCAGAGCCCGTCCCTGCTGCCGCTCTTGCCGGGAGGGCGCGGTGGCCCTGAGCTGGCCCTGGGCTGCCACGTGGTGATGCTCGTCTTTCAGTCCATCGTGCAAGTGGAGACCCTGGGGGAGTTTGGCGTGTTCTTCACTCTCTTTCTCGTCGGCCTGGAGTTTTCCCCTGAAAAGCTGAGAAAGGTGAAGGCCTAGCCCGGCCTGCTGCTGCCCCCCCTCCACCCCTGCACGCCTCCGCTGAGCCAGCCATCCCATGGGGGCCGGGGTGGTGCTGGGTGTGGGCGCCCACCCGAGGCCTTCTGGGGGTGGAAGGACCCTGGCGGAGCTCCTGGCGGGCGCTGTGATGCAGATACAGGAGAGGCGGGCGGCTCGGGGCCCCGTCCCTGCGTTCGCCCAGGGCTGTTGGAGCCCCCACGCCTCCTGTCCCGCCGTGCCTCTGCCGTCACCCCTTGGGCCCGGGAGCCCCTCAGCACCGTGCATGGCCACTGTTGTCTAGAGCTGGGGTTGGGGGCGAGCTCTCTGGGACCCCCCTCGCAGCTGTGTGCTGACTCCGTGTCTGTCCAATGTGGCCACTGGCCGGCACGGTCACTGAGCAGGTGGGTCCCCTGTGCTGCGCCGACGGCCCTGGCGACCTCAGCTCTTCCAAACTCAGCAAGTGAGGGGCGGCCAGGACTGGGAGGAGCGGTCTACGTGGGTATCTTACTGGAGGGCCCGGGTCTGGCCGCCGGCTCAGGCCTGCCGTGTTCCCAGGTGTGGCGCGTCGCCCTGCAGGGCCCCTGCTACATGACACTGCTCATGACGGCCTGTGGCCTGCTCTGGGGGCGCCTGCTGCAGCTCGGATCCTCTCAGAGCGTCTTTCTCTCCGCCTGCCTGTCCCTGTCCAGCACGCCCTTGGTGTCCAGGTTCCTGGTGGGCAGTAGCCGGGCTGACAAGGAAGGTGGGTCTGGGCGCACTTGCCGGTGGGGCCGTGGGGCTCCCTGAGGCTTGTAGCTGCGGCCACAGTCCTGGGCCCTGAGCAGGTGCCCGTGGAAGCTGAATCGCCCCAAGTCTAGGGCCTCCCACCTCCACTTTGGCAAAAAAAAGCGCCTCTAGCATGTTCTGGGGTGGCAAAAGCCGGAGCGCTCATCTGCGAGGAGCAGGCCCGAGCATGGGGCGCACTCCTCCCACGGCACAGCCACGTCCAGGCCCCCGTGCCCCCCTCCCCGGGATGAATTGCGGGCCGTGCTGGGCAATCTGGCTCCCCTGCCCTGGACCCCCACCACCTGCCTGAGAGGGGCCGTGCCACCCCGCAGGGGGCGCCTGGAGCCCAGCCCACCCCATGCTCGCACCCCACTTGGCCAGGGCCTGTGGTTGAGGCTGCACACTGAGCGATCCTGGGTGCCTGCTCGCCGGTGTCCGTGGCCTGCAGTCGGCCCTGCTCGGGACCGGGTGTCGGCCGCGTGCAGGGGCTGGGGTCACAGCCGGAGGAGACACTCGCCTCCCCGCAGCCGCGGACTCGATGTTCCTGATTAAAACCCAGGCGGCACAATCCCCAAACTCACTTAGGAATAGGGCCTCATGAATTTGGCAGACAGGGCCCTGCTTGCAGCGCCTGGACGCTGGAACAGGCAGGAGAGTGGCCGGTCAGCTACCGGGAATCAGGGTCCGCGGGAGACCTGGGCCCACCGGCCGGGCTCTGCATGGACGGGCGATGGCGGTTGCTCCTGCAGGTGATCTGGACTACAGCGCTGTGCTCCTGGGCATGCTGGTGACGCAGGACGTGCAGCTGGGCCTGCTGATGGCCGCTGTGCCCACGCTCGCCCAGGCTGGCGCCGGCTCGCACCCCAGGTATGGCGCGCTGACGGGACGCCGGGCTCCCCGGGACGGCGGGGCGGGCCCCTGGGCACTGATGGCGTCGAGCTCCTGAGGTCAGAGAACGCGCGGGGCACGGGCACGTGTGCAGCGTGTGTACCCATGTGCGTGGGCCTGCGTGTGTGCGAGCTGTCGTCCTGGCCGCTGCGGTCGCTACCGTCTCCCCGCATTTCCTCTGTTCTCCCACGAACCCTGAGCTGCACTGTCTCGGAGTTGCGTGAAGAGAAACCAAACGGATAAGTTCGTTTGCTGAGAAGCAAGTTGGGCGATGCAGGCTGTGGCCTGGGTGGGGGAGCCTGGCCAGGGCCTATGGGGGCCTTGGCGCGGCCCCTTTAGTGTCCGCTGTCTGCGTTCCCAGAGAGCGCCCACCTCGTGCCCCAGCAACGCCGTTGGTCAGAAGGGACCGAGAAGCGTAACAGTGGCCCAGGAACTGCTCTGAGCGCCAGGAGCCGGCTGCTGCCTCCCCCGCAGCCCTGTGTCCTGCCTCTCCTGGCGGCGCTGGCCAGGACCCCTGTGCCTGCCGTGTAGGTCGTGGGTGTCGGCGCCCCCGATCTCCAGCAGATGTGGGGTTTTGTCAGACGCTTTCTGCACCTCCTACCACGGCTCCGGTGGCTCTGGCAGATGCGCCCCTGCTTCACGCAGGCTCAGTGCTGGCCACACCTCTCTGGCTTTTCCTCTTTGGGGTCCACTTGTTTCTCCCTGGGGTCCCAGTGGCCGTCCCGGGGTGCTGGAGCTTGATTTGACACTTGGAAGTGAACGTGCGTGTGGATCGCGAGGCGTGGTCTGTTGGCTGAGGGGCAGAGGCTTTATGGAGTCTGGGGCAGCGGCTGGACGTGACCGGCCCCTCTCGCCCCAGTGTCGTCATGGAAACGCTGCGGCTTCTGGCCCTGGTGGGGCAGACGCTACTGTCGCTGGCCGCCGGGCTGCTGCTGTGCCTGGGGCTGAAGTCGTACCTGCTGGGCCCGTACTGCCGGAAGCTGCACGCGGAGAGCCGGGCGGGCAGGGAGGCCCTGGTCCTGGGCGTGTGTGCGCTGGTCTTCTTCATGCTGACGGTGAGGCCTGCGGCGCCGGCGCACATGGGAGCAGGTGGGGAGCAGGCAGCTGGCGCCTGCCGGGGCAGAGACGGGGCCCACGGTGTGTGCAGGTGGGGCACACGCGCATGCAACCCCTGGCCCTTCCCTTCGCAGGCCACGGAGCTGCTGGCCGTGTCCATGGAGCTGGGCTGCTTCCTGGCCGGCGCGCTGCTGTCCTCGCAGGGCCACCTGGTGGCGGAGGAGGTGCTGTCCTGCGTGGAGCCCATCCGCGACTTCCTGGCAATCCTCTTCTTCGCGTCCATAGGTGCCGTCCCTCCCCGCGGCCCCGCCCGCCGCAACCGGTGTCTGCGCTGCGGAGCGGCCCCGAGCCCGGTTATTAGCGCGTCCAGGGTGGGTGGCGGGGTCAGCGTCGAGGACCCTTGTTGAGTGAGGAGTGTGGCGGGGGCGTGGGCACTGCCCTTGGTCCGGCCCTGCAGCTCAGCGTGGACACGGCCGTCGGAAGGACACTTATTTGACACCTCAGAAGTTGAGGGGGGTCGCGCCTGTGAGGGGAGGTGGCTCTGGTGGCGCGAGGCTGGGTCCACTCGTCCCCCAGGCGGAGACTGAACGCCTCCCTCTGGTGCTGGCCCAATCCAGGGGTGCTGGGGAGGCGCCTCTGTGCATACACTGCTGCTCCTGCGTCCAGATGGGGTCCAGGCCCTGCCTCTCGACCCCATTCAGCCCTGGTTGCTCTAGGAGTCTTTGCGAGAGCCCGTCTCTCCGCAGGGACTGGGTGGGCGTGAGGATGCAGCCGCCCTGCGCCACCCCTGTCACCGCTGCGGCGGCTGGTGACTGCCGGCCTGCACGGGGCCGGGCCAGCATGCCAGCTGCCCCGAGGCCTCTGTGTCCATCACTGGGGCTGGCTGCAGAGGGCACGTTCAGGAGGCCAATGGGGGACTTGTAAGGACGGCAGCCGGCTCCAAAACCCGGGGCCCTGGACCCTGGGCACGGGGTCTTGTGAAGTAGACACGGGCTGGCGAGTGCTGGGGTCAGGCGCCCAGCTGCCGGCTGGGGGGGGCACATGGCTGGGGAGTGGCCAGGAGGAGACGCTGCTGTTGTTTGCTCAATACGTGAGGCAAATAAAAACCGGGAAGGAGGGGGCCCTTGGGCCGTGGGGGGCGGTGGCAGGCCGGGCCCCTCCACGTCGCCCTCCAGGCCGCCCCTTGGCCAGTGTTTCAGGCCGAAAAGTCCCACAGGCAGCCGCCTGGGGTGTCGGGGAGTGAGGGGCATCCGGCCGTGGACGAGCAAGTGCCCGGGGTGGTCTGTGCGCCTGCGGGGGCCGGCGTCAGGGTCCTGAGCCCCCGTCCTCCTGCCAGGTCTGCACGTGTTCCCCACCTTCGTGGTCTATGAGCTGACGGTGCTGCTGGTGCTCACGCTGTGTGTGGTGGGCGTGAAGGTATGTGCGTGGGTCCTGGGGCGCGGGGGGCCGGCAGGGCCCCCCACACCCCAGCCGCGGGGTTGGGACGGCTGAGGGCCTTTTCCCTTTGAGTCGGGATGTATGTCAAGCCCTGGGGCTGCGAGCAGGTGGGCTCTGCCCTCAATGAGCAGAGGCGCCTCCCCTGGTCTTGGGGTGCAGCAGCGGGTGTAGCGGCCACCAGGGGCCCCCTGCTGGCGCCCCCACTGACACCCCACGTCAGTTTGTCCTGGCAGCTCTGGTCCTGTCCCTCCTCCTGCCCAAGGCCAGTCAGCACATCAAGTGGGTCGTGGCGGCCGGGCTGGCCCAGGTCAGCGAGTTCTCTTTCGTGCTGGGGAGCCGCGCACGCCGCGCCGGCATCATCTCCCGGGAGGTGAGTCCCTGCCTGTGCTGGGCTGCTGGTGGGGGCCGGGGGGCAGCGGCCCCGCCACGCGTGTCCTGCGATGCTCCCCTCGGAGACGAACCTGCCATGAAGCCCACGGGGCGCCAAGTAGCGGCCGCCGTCCTCCGGCCTCACGGAGTCTGCCGTGCCACTGCCCGGCCAGGCCCGCGTCTCCCTGGGGCGGTCACTGCCCCAGAGCCCCGGGCTGGGCTTGCAGATCCGTGCAACCACCTGCAGAAGCCCCATCTGCAGGCTGCTCGGCCCCGGGTGCCAGCCGGTGCCGTGGATGCGGGCAAGACCCCCCCACCCCCCACAGCTGCCAGGCCCTGGGGTTCACCCCTGCACTGTCTGCTGCCCAAACCCCACCCTCGGGCCCCGCACAGGTCCCTCCTCCTCCTGTGCTTGCTTTCTCTCCTCGTGGCTCTGCCCCCCGAGTCTGTCCCCGCTGCAGGCGCCCCAGCCTGAGGGGAGCCCACCCATTGCCCCTGCAGGTGTACCTCCTGGTGCTGAGCGTGACCACGCTGAGCCTGCTGCTGGCACCGGTGCTGTGGCGAGCGGCCATCACGCACTGCCTGCCCCGCCAGGAGCGGCGGTCCAGTCTCTGACCCTAGGGCCGGCGGCTCCGAGACCAAGGGCAGCCGGGCCAAGACATTGGGGTGCCTCCCCAGGGCTTGGACATGGGACACCTGACCTCGCCCGATGGTGCGAGGCCACCCAACTGCGCCTGCCAGACAAGTGCAAGCGTGCACCCCAGCACCGTGCCTGCTGCCCAGCTGCTCTCAGTAGGCTGCAGGCCCCCCCCAAGGCCGGACGTCTCTGGAAATCCATGTGCTCGTCACTGTAACAGTTTAAATAAAACACGTCGCGCGTTCTTCTCGCTGGGCACGACCCTCTCGCACTTTGACCACAGGAGTTGAAGCGCTTCAGTGAGACTCGGTGCCCTCGGGCCTCGGAGTTAATGGAAACTTGCTGGATGTCCTGTCCAGTGACAGCTTCGTGCTGGCCTAGTGTCCAGCTCCTCCCCGGGGCTGCATCCACACAGCTTTCCCCAGAGCGCTCAGGCTGGACGCTCAGGGAGGACCCGACACCTGGACGGGGATCTGGCAGAGAAGCCGGAGCTGCTGGGGTTGCAGGCCAGTGGGAGCCGTCTCGGCCTGGCCACAAGCGGGCAGGGGTGGACACACTGGTCCCACACACTGCCTGTTCTGAGTCATGGGAAGGTCTGGCTGTGTGGGGGGCCCGGCCTGGCTCCGGCCTCCTGGCAGCTGTGCGTGGAGCGTGCTGAGCTCCAGCCAGGGAGACTGCGGGTGATGCCCATGGGTGATGCGCCTCCGTCCTCCCGGCATGTGTCCCTTACGCCCGGGAGGGCAACGGTTGAGACCAGAGTCTCCCAGGCCTCACTCGAGATGCTCCCAGGGCCCCAAGCAGCAGGTGCCTGAGGCGGATGGTGGGGTTTCTCCGCCACCCTTAGGAGTCACCTGTGCGGTCCGGTCTCACACCTGCCTTCTGACTTGAGACTTTCCGACTTCTTCACCCCCTCCCACACCCCAGCCGCCTCTCGGGTCCCTGCTGGTGAGCAGGGTCAGCTGGCCCCCAGCCAGGGCGGCCCTGCCACAACACCTGCTCTGCCTTGGACCTGCCCTGTCGTCCATTGTGGACACACAGTCGTGTCCCGGGGGCGGTGGTGCAGGGGGCTGTTTGGCGCCAGGCAGGGAGACTGGGGCTCCTTCAGCTCGCCTGGAGCAGTGCCTGGCGCATTGGCAAGGCACCGGCTGGTCTGGGCGGCCGGCAGGGCCGAGGGTGTCACGACTGCAGAGCCTGGGGAGGGCACTCGGTCTCATCCAGGGCAGGGTTGTCCACCAGGAGCGGGACCGGCGCGCGCAGTTCGGGAGTGAGTGGGCAGGCCCCGGGGTTCCTGTGCGGGGAGGAGGAGGGTCCCCCTGGGGGTGCTGGGGCGAGAGGCCGACACCCCTGGGCCTCAGGCGTGGGCCCTGCCCTGCAGGGGCCTGGGGGGGGGAGGCCACCCTGTAAGCACTGGGGTAAGAGGGTGGGTGGCCAGGGTCCACCTCCCTGATGCAGCCTGTGCAGCCACGGCGGGCTCTGTGTCCCCAGGAGCCATGAGAGCAGGGCAGACCCTCCCTGGGGCCCTGGAGGGCAACCCCAGGACACCCTGGACTCAGGCCAGCACCACAGGCCATTTCCCACCTGGCCCTGGGCCTTGTGGTGGCCCGGCGGTCAGGGCTTCCTTGTTCCCCGTGGATGTCAGCTGGCCGCAGTGTGGGGGCCGGGACGGCTAGGTGGCGCCTCCCCTCGGGTCCAGCTGGAAGGTGGGGCCCCGGGCGGGGTGGGCAGCAGCGTGGGGGCTCCTGGTCTCGGGTGCAAGGTGGCCCGGTGCCTCCTGGCCCCACCCTGGGCTGCTCCGGAGGACTCGCGTCCTGCGTCTTCACTGGCGGCAGCTGTGGCTCCGTGTGACTCCTGAGCGCAGCCCGGACCCGGGTGGGGCCTGGACAGACGGCAGTGCGGAGAGGGCCCGCGGCTGCTGCCTGGTGTAGGGGGGAGCCACCTGCACCCTGACCCAGCTCAAGACGTCCACTCGGACACGGACATGCCGACACTGACCACTGACTCCATCCCCCCCGCAGCGGCCAGCTCCGAGAGCAGCACCCGCCCAGCGAGTGGCCGTCCCAAGCTGGAGTCTCAGCCCCTGCCCCAATCCTGTGGCCTGACCCCCCACGCAGCTCTTCAGTCACCCGCGCTGGCTGTAGCTACCCCTGCTGGGCCCAGGGGCCCCGGAGAGCACCTCCAGAGGGGACGCAGGGGCTCCTGGGGCGGCCTGCATTGGAGCCACGCAGGCACCTGAGGTGGCAGAGGGTCTCTGCCTCCACTGTTGGCGTCTGCGGTGCCACCTGCTGCTTGGAAGCCCCGCCCGAAGCTGGAGAATCCAGGAGGCCGCTGTGCAGGGCTCTGGCTCCAGACCACTCCAGCGTTGGGCACCACGGGGCTGGTCAGCCAGGCCCAGGGACAGCCAGCAGCTGGCGTCCGGCCCTACACGGGCGCTCCGAGCCTCCTGGCCAGGTGATCTCCTCTTCAGCCTCTGTCTGCTCGCGGGGCCTCTGCTGTGTAGGGTACCTGGCTGGTTGTCTCCCCTTTCTCATGCCTCCCCGCACTGGGGCGGCCGCCTCCCTGGCAGCACATGCTGGCCGCTCCTCGAGGTCCACCCACGGAGCAGAGCCGGGTGCCCTCCTGGGGGGCCGGGACAGACCCTGGCCAGGAAGGACCCGTCTTGGCTGAAGAGGGTGCTCCCTCCTGGGCTTGCTCAGACGCTCGGCCTCCTGCGGGCAGCCAGGACCCCAGAGGAGGGGCCTGTGGGTGGCCTTGGTGGGCGGGGGTCACCCCGCTGCAGGGAGACCCCAGGTGAGGTAAAAAGGAGGGGCAGCCATCTGCTTCTGGGAGGCCATCTGTGCTGCCCGCACCCTGCAGACCCAGGCGGCGCTGCGGGTGGTCCTGGGACCCCGCCGTCTGGAGGGGCAGGTGCTGGGTTCAGGGCGCTCTGGTGGACAAGGCGTCCGGATGCCGGCATGGGCGCCCACCTAGGCCCTCAGGTCAGCAGGGCGTCCTCTGCAGGCACCTCTACTGCGTTCCACCCAAGACGGGAGAGAGGTGTCTGCCCTGTGCCCCCACGCCCGGGCCTGCTTGGGGCGGAAGGGGGGCAGAGCTCCAGGGGGAGGGAGCTGGGGCTGCAGCCCCCCCCAGACAAGCAGCCAGAGAGAGAGCCCCCGGGGAGGACACGGCCCGGACCAGCAGGCCCGGACCAGCACTGCTGGAGGGTGACGCTGGCGGGCTGGGCTGTGGCTCGCACCTTCGCGGGGCTCCCTAGCAGGGTCCTAGTAGCCGCGCTGACCCCCGATGCCTGGACACGGGACACGGACTGGCCGTGGGCAGCGGCTCCGGTGCTGCTGCTGCAGCTCGGGCAAATCGCTCAGGCCCCGCTGTGGCGGAGAGTGCTTCTGCTCATCCACATGTTTGGGGGGTTCTGCTGCCTCGAGAAAGTACAGAACCGGTGCTGTCTGTGCAGCTCGGGTCCTCCCGGGGTGCCCTGTGCGGGCATCTCCAGCTTTGGGGCGCAGGGGCCCGTGTCTTGGGCCCCACCTCACCAGAGACCCGGCTGCGGGCTGGGCCCGGGAACGGCCCCCCGCGGGCTCAGGCGGCGGCCGCGCCCTCCCGGCAGCAGCGTGGGCGGCGGGGGCGGGTGGGGACACGCGGGGCGCGGGGGCCCTTTGCTCTGCGCGCCTCGGAGCCCGGGAGACACTAATTGGGCGTCGCTCGTCCCCGGCGGCAGCCTGGACTTCGGACTCGGCGAGGCCCAGCGCCCCGGCCCCGGGCGGGTCTGGTGGGGGGCGGTGGGGGGCCCTGCCCCTGCGAGCAGCCCCCACCCAGGTGGGGGACCCGCCCCGCCCCGCCCCCGCGCCCCGCCGCGCACCAGCACGTGCCGCCCCCCACCCCCCCACGCCCCCCCCCCCCCCACCCCCCCACGCCCCCACCCCCCCCACCCCCCCCCCCACCCCCCCCCCCCCCCCACGCCCCCCACCCCCCACCCCCCACCCCCACCCCCCGTGTCGGGGCGAGCGCGCCCAGCGCCTCCTCCGCGTGCGCACGCGGCGCGCCTGCCCGGGCGCGCCCGCCGCCCCGAGCGCCGCAGAGGCCGCCCCGCGGGGCCCGCCCCCCCGGGCCCCCCCGGGCTCCCCCCCCCCCCCCCCCGCGCGGGCCGCGCCGCGGGAGCCGGGAGGAGGCGCCGAAGGCGCGAAAAGGCGCGCAGGCGCGCTGGGAGCCGGCCCGCCCACGTCACCGCGCCGCGCACGTCACGCCGCCGACGCTCGCTCGCAGGGTGAGCCCCGCGTCCCGGCGCCGCTCGCAGGCTGGGACCCCGGGGCCGAGGCCGCCCCCCGCCCGCGCCCCCCGCCCCCGCCGCCCGCGACCAGGTGGGCGGGCCCGGCCCCGCGCCCCGCGCCCCGCGCCCCCCGCGCCCCGCGCCCCGCGCCCCCCGCGCCCGGCCCGCGGCGGTGGGATCGGGGTCCCCGCGGCCCCCGCGCGCCCGGCCGGCGGGGGGGGGGCGGGGCGGGGGGCGCGGGGCGCCGGCGGGCGTCGGGGCGCGGGGGCCGGGGGCGCGCGGGGGGCGCGGGCGCCGAGGCCTAGTGACAGGCCGGCCGCAGCCACCTGTCAGCGCGCGGGCGGGCGGGCGGGCGGGCGGGCGCGCGGGCGGGGGGCGCGGGGGGCGCGGGGCGGGGGGCGCGGGCGCGGGGCGCGGGGGGCGCGGGGCGGGGGCGGCGCGGCGGGAGGCCCTGCGGAGCGGCGGCCGCGGGCCCGCGTGGCTCAACGGAGGCGCCTCCTGGAGGCCCGGGGCCGGCCGGCGGTCGCCCCACTTCTGTTCTCCTCTCACTCGCTGCGCCCCCCGCCAGGAGAGCCCCGTCTTCTCGGGCGGCGCGCCCGGCGCACGGACTCCGCGGACCGGGTAACATGGCAAAAGATGTGAGTGTGTCCGCCGGGTGACAGCGCGGCGGGCGGGGCGGCGGGCGGGCGGGAGGGGCCGGAGGGGCCGCGTCCTCCCGCCCGAGGCGCCGCAGGACGGAGCGGGGGCCGGGCCGCGGCTGGCCGCCAGGGCCGGGGTCAGGCCTGGAGGTCGAGCCCGGGCGTGGCGCGGCGCCCGGGTGTGGAGAGGTGCGGGCGGCGCGGCGGGCGCCGGCCGTGCAGGCTGCGGTCAGCAGGCCGCGGGGCTTCCGTCGAGCCTGGGGTGTCTCCTGGAGCCTGTAGTGGGGGCCTCCCCCTTGGGGAGAGGTCGGGCTGAGCTGATGGCCGGGGGCTGTACTTGGGCCCTGGAGGCTGCCCTGGGGGAGGAGGACCTGGGGAGGTGAGGGTCCGTGGGCAGGTGCGGTGAGGAGGCAGAGGGGGAGGGAGAAGGGCGAGGCTGGACTGGGCCGCCAGGGCGGGTTCGAAGGGCAGGAGCCGCTTCCTGCGGGAGAGGAACAGCGCCCAGGTCGGCAGCGGTGGGCAGCACTGGCTGGCGAGCTGGGCCACGTAGGCTGGCATGGGCCTGGGCGCCTGGCTGAGCCACATCGACCTGAAGGGCCACTCGCCACACCGTCCTGGTGCCCAGAGGGGTGTCCGCACGGGGGGCTGTATAGGGCTGGGGCGCTGGCCAGTGTGCCTGGAGGGTGAGGACCAGGGACAGGTGGGCACCCTCACACCTGAACACTCTGTTCCCAGAATGCTGGGGAGCTTGGTGCTCGCGCATTTCTAAAAGGTAGGGGTGCGACGCAGCCGTGGCAGCGCTTGGAGAGGCCCTTCCAGCCGCGGCAGGACGGCCCGACTCCTGGCACCGGGGAGCGTGGGCTCTGGCAGCCGGCGAGGCCCTCCCAGGAGTCCAGCTGCCTGAGGGGCCGGCCGCTGCTGTGGCCGCAGGGAGGTGGTGCTGCGGTGTGGACCCCTTGGCTGCAGGCTGGGGCCCAGGGCGCCCTTGGGAGTAGGTAGCCCCGGGGCCACCGCCCCTCTCTTGGGGCCGCTCCTGGAACTTGGGGCACAAGAGTCACAGGTTGCCGCTGAAGCCTTGTGAGAATGTCCTTGTTGGGGATTCCCTTGGATGCCCGGCCCTATGACGGTTGCTTCCAGCCACAGAATGAGGGGGTCACCGCCTGGACCCCAGGGACCCCCATGCTTGCAGGCGCTCGCGCTCAGAGGGTGTCCAGGCAGGCTGCCGCGGGGCCTGTGCGCCCTCCATCACGGCTTCCTGCCGTGGAGGGCGGCCTGTTCCTGCGGTGGATGGATGGGGACCACTGTCCAGGCCACATTCCCGGGAGCAGCACAGTCAGGCCCTCCCTGCTGGGACGGGCTCCGGCCCAGTTCCCCCAGAGCAGGTGCTCAGGGGGCCAGGGCTGCGGCTGCTGGCACCCGGGGTGCACCTGCCCCACTCTCCCGGCTGCTGTTCCTACAGCCCAGGTCAAGGACCTCCGTTTGCCCACCTCTTCTAGACTGGGGCCTGGAGGGGCCCAGAGAGGCCCAGCACTTTCTCCGGTCACCGCTCAGTGTCTGCAGCAGGCGGGTGGGGCATTGCCATCCCCGGGCGTGGCGGACGCGGGGAGCCGTCAGCTGCGAGTTACAGGGTTTGTGCTGAGCTATTGAGGCGCGCGGGAGCGGGTGCAGGAGTGCAGGTGGCAGGTGCTCAGTAATGCAGGTGACAGGTGCATGGATATGCAGGTGTGAGGGTACGCAGTTGTGCAGGTCCGCAGGTGAGCGGGTGTGTGGGCACGGGTGTGAGGGTGCACAGGTGTGTGGGGGGGCACAGGTGCTGCCAGTGGCCCTGACCAAGCAGAGGCCCTTTGCTCCGGCCCTCGATGGGGTGTTGTCCGTGGAGAGGCTGGCCTGGCGTTGCGTGGCCCTGCGGGGGTGGGGGTGGGTGGGGGTGGGGTCCCCTTGCCCTGATTCTGCTCCTTCCTGGTTCAGGGCCCACTGGGGACTGACCGCTGGAGGTTGAAGAGGGCGCTGCGCTGCCCGGCCCAGGGCTGGGTGGCCCCGCAAGGCGGCTCTTCACTTGGGTGCCTCGGGCTTATCTGCTCGTGCTGCAGGGCTGGAGAGGAGTGGCTGGCCCTGACTGGCCACGGCCGGCTGCTTCCTGCAGCGTGAAGGGGCGGCTCTGGGCAGGACTTGCGGGCATGGCTGCCCGTCGAGGCTGGAGTCCCTCCAGTCGGGCCATCGCCCTGCCGTGACTTCTGGCTTGCCCTGTGGCAGTCTGCGCGCCCTGGACCGTCTGCCCTCACAAGAGGCACCCTGGGCGCCCCTGCGCCAGGCGGTGGCTCTGAGGGCGAGCGGGTCCCACAGATCCCGGTGCCCACAGGCTGCCCTGCACCTGCTCAGCCGCCCAGCCCCACGGCGCCAGCGGGCGGTGGGGCTGTGGACCAGGAACCGGCCGTCACCCAGGCTCCCTGTGACCGTCTGCTGTTGGCGGTGTCCACCAGCTCACCCGCCACGGCCAGTGCCGTCCACGTGCAGGATTTCGTGACCACAGCTTAGCTGTGAGTGGCACCCTCCCCGGCCATCTGTCTACCCGTCGTCCACGATGAGGGGGCCTGGCCAGTTCCTTTCTCCCGCGCCCCCAGCCTGTGCTCGGGGACCCCTGGGAGCAGCAGGCTCAGCTGCCAGGGGTCGAGACGGGAGAAGCTGGAGGAGATGCGTGCAGAGGCCTTCGTCGGCAAGTGGATGCCCGCCCGGCCTGGGGTGTGGGGTTAGAGGCCCCAGAGGAGCACTGGTGTTCCTCGTCACTTCCGTGCGGCCAGCTGGGTCTCTTGGGGGCAGGGGATCCGGAGGGCGCTCAGAGGCACTGAGTGTGGCCGCTGCCTCCCCAAGTGTGTGACCAGCACGTGTGTGCGCGTATGTGCGCGCAGTGGGCTGCCAGCCCCGGCGTGGACACCTGCGTCACCTGGAGCTGCTGCCTCCCCCATGAGGTGCTGTTGTCCGGGACGGGCCTTCCAGTGGCTTCTGGTTAACTGCATGGTGCATAGGCCCAAGATGGTCCCGGGGTCCGTGCTGGGCAGTATGACTCCATGTGTGCGTGGGCGTGGGTGTGCAGAGCATGTTGGTGCAGGTGTGTGCAGGTGTAGCCGTGTACAGGTAGGGGTGGGTGTACTGGTGCAGGTGTGTGCAGGTATGGGGCAGGCATGCTGGTGTGGGTGTGCACAGGTGTGGGTGGGCGTGCTAGTGCAGGTGGGGGTGGGCACAGTTGCGGGCGTGCACAGGGGTGGGTATGCAGGTGTGGGTGGGCGTGCTAGTGCAGGTGGGGGTGGGCACAGTTGCGGGCGTGCACAGGGGTGGGTATGCAGGTGTGGGTGGGCGTGCACAGGTATCCAGGGCCAGTGGCCTGGGCTCTGCAGGTCCCTCTGGTGGAGGAAGTGGACACAGGGCAAGTGGATCCCTCTGGTCACCCCCAAGGCTAGCCACTCGCCCTCCTTGTGGTCTGTAGCGGGTCCTGAGGGTCGCGGCCGTGGGGCTCTTGGTCCAGCAGTTGGGCCTGCTCGTGTCTCCGGTGGCTGAGCCTGGCTGCCGGCCGAGGGCACTGGGCGGGGCCTGGCGTCCCTGGAGCTGTGTCCAGCCCTGCAGGGGTGTGACGTCCAGCCAGGGGTCGGGGTGAGGCCGCAGGGAGGTCCTGAGGGCAAGTGGATGAGGCCGGGCTAGATGGTGTGGTGGCGGGGAGGGTGGGAGGGATGATGGCTCCTCACAGGAGCCCTGGCTGCTGCTCAGCTGTGGGTGCTCCAGTCACCCCAAGGCCACCAGGAGCCATCTTGTGTGCCCGCTGCTGCCGCCCCTGTTGGACCTTCACGCCCATGTGGGTGTGTGTTCATTGCATCCATGTGTGGGCCATGTTCACACGTGTGCGGGCACTGTGCACATATGTGTGCTGCGTGTGTGGGTGCAGCTCGCAGGCCAGCCTGCTGGTGGTTGACATGCACGGGGCCCGCAGCTCGCTGTGTGTCCTGCTCACATGCCCACCTGACGGCCCGGCCAGCCCCAGCCTGTGGAGGCCGAGTCTTCAGAAGACCTTGGTGCTGTCGCGGTGCCTGTGCCAAGCATGGGGGGCGAGGACCAGGGTGGGAGGCGGACAGTGCGGCTGGGGTGGTGGGCGCGGAGCTCACTGTCGGGTTGCCCCGCAGGCCGGCCTGATTGAAGCCAACGGGGAACTCAAAGTCTTCATCGACCAGAACCTCAGTCCCGGGAAAGGTGAGACGCCCGTGCGGCTGTGGCCCCTCGGCAGGAAGTCCCTTGGCCGCTGCAGGCCCCCGAGGCGCCCCCCCCCCCCGCTCCCCTTGCTGGGCCAGCAGTACCTGCAGGACGGCGCCGGGACTTCAGCAGCTGCAGAGCCTTCCTCCCCGGACATGCGGCCCCAGGGCTGACCATCGGGCCAGCGCCCACCCCCATGCGGCACTGTCTGCCCTCCGCTCGTGGTCTGGGCAGCATGTGGAGGGGCCTGGTGGCACAGCCCTGCTGTGGCCCGTGGGGCACAGCTGGGCTCCTTCAAGCAGTGCTGGCAGTCTGGCCCGGGGCACCCAGGTGGCTGCACCCCACTTCTGCTTGCAGTGGGGGGCCTGCTCTTCCTGGTGACGCTCGCCCTTAAAACCGGCACTTGGTGTTGGGGGAGACGCCCAGGTGAGCGCTTGGGGCCGCTGTGTGGTGGGCTTGAACCGGGGCTGGCCCTGCATCCGGCCTTCTCCAGCCAATGCAGGCCTGGAGTTCCGTGTCCCGGCCGCGCCACGCCCCCAGGGCCAGGACCCACCTGGTCCCCCCGTGGGCCGGCCCCGTGGCTGCGGCTCTGATCCCTTGGGCGGGCCATGGCCTTGGGGCCTGGCGGTGCCAGCTGGTCCAGCTTCACCATGGACGCAGCATCGCAGCGGCCTCGGGCTTCCCATGAGGTGGAGCAGCCGTGGTGAGATCCCGGACGACAGGCCCGCTGGGTCTGCCTCACGGAGCCCTGGCCACGTTGCTGTGGGGTGCGGGCGGCGGTGCAGCTGCGGTTTCTCCACCCAGCACTTTGGGAGGCGCCTTGGGCCTTGGTGCCGACCACCGCTCCGTGTCTCCCTGGGCGTCTGCCGCCTGCCTGGCCCTCGGGGCCGGAGTCAGGATGGTGCTGGCTGGGCTGGGCCTTCCTCTGCCCTGTGCCCTGCCCACCCCTGTGGGGTTTGCCCCGGCTGGCCGCCCGGGCACTTCAGGAGAGGCGGCCCCCAGGCCACACCCTGGGCCCTGCTGTCTTGGGCAAGGCCATGACTTTGGGGGTGGCCCGTCAGCTCCCAGCCTCCCGGGTGGCTGCGCTGCAGCGTCCAGAGGGTCAGCCAGTGGGTGCAGGTCGTAGAGGAGCGGACTGGCCGGCGGGGCTCAGGCGTGCAGGGGACCCTTGGAGTCTGTTCTTTGAGCTCTCCCTGGGGTTGCCTGGAGCTTGGGGCCTCCGCTGGGGGCCCGGGTGTGCTGACCCCTGTGAGGCTGCGCAGCGCCCTGGCCGCTGCCCTCCGAGTGGGGGTGGATGGACCCGGATGAGCCGGGCACCCCGGCCACCCAACCCCTTGCTGGCCTGTCCCCAGACCCACCCCCCTCAGGATGTATCCGGCTCCGCTTTCTCGCCTTTGCTTGTCATGGATCCTGGAGGCACAGGTGTCTCTTCCAGCCCTGCAGCCCCCCTCTGCCCCCCATTCGCCCCGCCGCCCCAGCCTCTCCCCAGGCTCCTGTGGGCCTCCCGGGCGGGGCTCGGGGGTGGGAGGGGCTGGAGGGCCGCCCCCAGGAGTGGCACCTGCTTGGAGGGCGCGGCGCCCCGCCGCAGGCCCCACCTGGCGTCACACCTGGCCCGGGAGGCGCCCGGCGAGAGGGCGGCGGCGGGCGTCCCGAGGGCTTCCCCTCGCCGCGCGCGCGCCGCGCCTGCGGTCACGTCAGGATCTGAAATGTTTGCCCAAAACGTTCTAGAAAACGCTCGTCCCGGGGAGACGGCGGCCTCGGAGCCCGCGCGCTCTACTTGCGTGCGCGCTCCCGCGGGTGCCGTGCGCGCGGCCGGCCGTGCCGTGCGGGGGGCCGGGCGGGCAGCGTCCCCGCGGGGGGCCGGGGGCCGGGCCGGCCGGGCTCTGCGGGCCTCGGGACGTGCCCCCGGGCGGCGGTCAGCGCGCTCTCCCCGCAGGTGTGGTGTCCCTGGTGGCCGTGCACCCCTCGTCCGTGAACGCGCTGGGGAAGCAGCTCCTGCCCAAGACGTTCGGACACCCCAACGTCAACATCGCGCAGCAAGTGGTAAGGCCGGCGGCCGCGGCTCCGGCTCCGGACGGGCCCCCAGGGCTTCCCGGAGCGCGGAGGGGCGCCCGCGCCAGTGTCCGCTGCGGGGCCGGGGCGGCCGTGCCAGGGGCCCGCCTTGTGCCCACGCCCTCCCGCCCCAGCCTGAGCCCCCTTTTCTGGAGTTGGGCTCTCTGTTCCCCTCGGAAGGGTCTCCCCAGGGGACCCCGGCAGAGCCCCCCGCCCTGCTCAGGACCCTCCGGGGTTCATCTCCTCTCCTGCCTCCGGGGCTTCTTGGCGACAGGCAGGCGCTGCCCACCGAGGTGCTCTCGCCACCCCCCTCTGTGCTCTGCTCACCTGTCTCCTGTGGCCCCCACAAGGTCCACGTCTCTGCGGGGCCCTGCCACGTGGCTGGGGGCGGGCGCCCTCCTGGCACTATTTCCCCAGAGGTGGGTGCACCTGGGGCAGCACAGGGAGCAGCTTTCAGTCACCGCTTCTGGGTGCTGGTTGGTGTCCATGCCTGGGGTGGCTGCGGGCCCCCGGGAGCCTTCTGCCCATCTGTTCTCATCACCCCTGTGATCAGTCGGGAGGAAATTCGGTGTGAGGACTTGGCTGTCCTAGCTCTGGTCGGTCTGAGGTCCAGCCTGGGCGTCGGGCTGAGAGTGACGCGCCCGCTGCCCCAGCGCTGGGAGCCAGGGTTCATCCAGATGCGCCGAGGCTGGGGCACGTGGGGACAAGGCCGGGGCAAGGCCACCTCCCCCCCAGCCTGGCCCAGGGCCTCGGAGCTGCCGCCACCCCCTACACCCACTGGGTTTCGCTTCTCTGCAGCCTGGGCGGCTGGCCAGGGGCCGGCGGGGCCGGGACCACCTTCCAAGGGCCCCCTGGCTGCGTCTTGGGGCATGGCCCCAGCATGCCTGAGCATGTGGGTGCTGACCCCAGCCTGAGGGGCCGGCGCTGCTGCCCACAGCTGCTAACGCCCGGCGACCCCCACGTCACCGTGTCCTCGCCCTGCGAGCCCAGCTCTCTGAGCTGCTATGTTTCCAGACGGCGCCGGTCAGCCAGTGGAACCCGTGCAGGGCAGGCGTGTGCCCCAGAGCACCTTGCCAGGCCTTGTCCCGAAGCGGTGATCTGAGAGGCTGAAGGTCCGGCCGAGCTGGCTCTCCCCAGGGCTGTGGCCCGTCAGCGTGGACTGTGCCCTGGGTCCGGGGCCACCACCAAAGTGCCTGGTTAGCTGCCCCGTGCGCAGGGATGAGCCCGCTAAGGAGGACACCCAAGGAGGGTGCTAGCCTGAAATAGCCCGGGTGGACCTGTGAGGCCCAGGCCGCAGCCTGTCCAGGCTGGCTTAGCACGTGGGGCTCAGCTCTTCCTGGGCCAGCCCCTGGGCTGGAGGGGCAGCCGCTGGGAGGGTTCTGGACTTGGAAGACCACGTCCAGGAGCCCGCGCTCTGCTGAGTGATGGAGCCGGGGGCCAGCAGGGCACAGCTGCTGGGCGGCCAACACGCTGCCCCCACCCACCTCCTGTGTGGGGGCCTCTGGGAGGGGCTTCCCACTGCAGATCAGCTGGTGGGGGTCTCGTGAACCCCAAGTTCACGTTTGCTCTGAGACGCATCCTCATTGGCCTCCCTGAGGGGAGGTAGGAGGACCCGTGTCCAGCCACTGCTCTCGGGCTCCAATGCTCCTGCCCGCTGAGAGGCCATGGGGCAGGAAGGGGAGGCGGGCCGTCCGGAGCCTGTGCCCCGCCCACATGGTCAATGGTGCCAGGCTATGGGTGGACGCGGGGCTCTGACTGCGCTGTCTCCCGCCTGCAGGTGATTGGCACGCCCCAGAGGCCCACGGCGCCTGATACACTCGTGGTAGGAAGCCCACACACCCCCAACACCCACTTCGTGTCCCAGAACCAGCCTGCAGACCCCTCGCCGTGGTCAGCTGGGTGAGCCTCACGCGGGTGGGAGCCAGCTGGGCGGCTGTCAGGGGCGCAGTGGGGGCACAGGCTGTGCTGGGCTGTAGAGGCTCTGGGTGGACACCATCCCCGCATGCAGTGAGGCCGCCTTTCAGCCTGGCCTGTCCAGGGGCAGCACGGGTCCGCGCCGAGGCCCTTCGTTGGCAGCTCCCTCGGCCCTGGCAGCCAGGCCTGGGGGCGGGCGGGCAGGCAGCTTGGGCAGTGGGTGGGTGGGGTCCGGCCGCCATGCTCAGCGCCCTGCGCCCCGTGTGTGAAGGAAGCGCAACCGGAAGGGCGAGAAGAACGGGAAAGGCCTGCGGCACTTCTCCATGAAGGTCTGTGAGAAGGTGCAGCGCAAGGGCACCACCTCTTATAACGAGGTGGCTGACGAGCTGGTGGCTGAGTTCAGCGCCGCCGACAGCCACATCCTGCCCAACGAGTCGGTGAGTCCCCGGCGGCCAGCCTGGGCCGGGGGGGTGGGCGAGGGAAGGACAGGGCTGCGTGCTGGGCTGGGCGGGTGGACAGCGCCTGCTCCCCCCAGGCCTACGACCAGAAGAATATCCGCCGGCGGGTCTACGACGCCCTCAACGTGCTCATGGCCATGAACATCATCTCCAAGGAGAAGAAGGAGATCAAGTGGATCGGCCTGCCCACCAACTCTGCGCAGGAGTGCCAGAACCTGGAGGTGCGTGTGCCACGACGCGCCCTGCCCTTACCCGTACCCCCCCGCCCCACAGCAAACACCGCACCCCACCCCACATGCCCCTGGGGCAGGAACCACGGGTGGGCACCCTTGCTGGGCGGGTGCTGGTTGCGCAGCTGTGGTCCCTGGGGGTCATTGCAGTGTTCAGCGGCAGAGCTCAGAGCGGGGGCGCGGTGGGAAAGCCCTTACTTGGCACACCCACGACGGCCGCACGGGTTTGTGTTTGAAGGTAGAGAGGCAGAGGAGGCTCGAGAGGATAAAACAGAAGCAGTCTCAACTCCAAGAGCTTATTCTTCAGGTAGGAGCTGGGCCGGGGCGCTGGGGGCACGTGGCAGGGAGCCGGGTCGGGGCACTGGGCATGTCCCCTTGTGGGCGGCACCTAGGCTAGGACTGACTGCCGTCCCAGGCCGTGGCCCAGGGAAGGGCGCAGCGTGGACGAGCGAGGCAGGGCGGTGTCCTGGGCCAGAGTGCTGCTGCCTGGCCTGCACGGTGTCCCCCCCCCACCCCCCGCATGCTGCCCCTGCCCACTCTCCGGTGCCAGTTCCCGGGCGGTCCCATGCGCAGCGGCCACCCCGGTGCAGACCCCCGTGGGCCACGCTCACCTGTGCGTCGGGCAGCGTTGGGCGCGGGCAGCGGGCTTGGTGGCCACTGGGCCGAGCCGTGGCCTCGGGCCTCCCTTGCAGCAAATCGCCTTCAAGAACCTGGTGCAGAGGAACCGGCAGACGGAGCAGCAGGCCAGCCGGCCGCCGCCGCCCAACTCCGTCATCCACCTGCCTTTCATCATCGTCAACACGAGCAAGAAGACGGTCATCGACTGCAGCATCTCCAACGACAAGTGAGCCGCGCCCCCGCCCCGCCCCCGCCCCGCGCGCGCCCCCGCTGACGCGCGTCCCCGCAGGTTCGAGTACCTGTTCAACTTTGACAACACCTTCGAGATCCACGACGACATCGAGGTGCTGAAGCGCATGGGCATGGCCTGCGGGCTGGAGTCCGGCAGCTGCTCCGCCGAGGACCTGAAGACCGCCCGGAGCCTGGTGCCCAAGGCGCTGGAGCCCTACGTGACCGGTGGGCGGGGCCGCGGGGCGGGGCTGGGGGGAGCCAGGGGCGGGGTCAGGGTGGTGCTGGGGCGGGGCCAGGATCGAGCCGCGGGGGCGGGGCCGTGGGGCGGGGCCAGGATGGGGCGGGGGCGGGGCCAGGGTGAAGGGGCGGGGCCAGGATGGAGCCGCGCGGGTGGGGCCCTGGTCAGCGCCCTGTGTCCTCGCCTGCAGAGATGGCTCAGGGGCCTGTCGGCAGCGTGTTCCTCCCCTCGTCGGCGTCCACGGCTAATGGAACGAGGCTCTCGGCCAGGTGAGGGTCAGGGGCTGGATGGGGCCCCAGCCGGCTCCCCCTGCTGGGAGGGCCCCCTAGGGACCAGATATTTGCTGGTGGAGTCCCCAGCCTGGGCCTGCATGGAGCTCTGCTTGCGGGTGGGGACCCCCTGAGGTTGAGGTGCAGTGGTGGGGGCTAACCGCCAGGTCCTCGCAGGGCCCCTCTGGTCTAGACACGCCGTGGCGCTGGGTCCTGTCCCTGCTGGTCCAGCTCTCCTTCTGGCCGCACTCTGGGGCTGTCCAGGGGCCGCGTGGGCATCATCGGTGTCTGACTTTTGGCCCGGAAAGGCCAACTGTGCTGGTTAAAGCTAGTTCTTTAAGATAAATATGATCTCAGTGCCAGATTTTGCAGGAGATGGGCTCCTCCTTTGCTGCTGGGCACTGGGCACTGACCGCCTGGCTTTCTCAAGTGCAAGTTGAGCCTGGGTCCTGCAGACAGGGCTGATGTGAGGGTGGGGTTCCCGGTCCAGTTTGAGTCTGGGGCAGCGAGGGCGATTCTCAGATGGGTTCGGCTGGTCCCACTGGTGCTCCAAGTGCCTGGGCGAGTGGGGTGTGGGCGAGGCGCTCCCCACAGGTGTTGCCTGCCTCCCCGACCCTGCCTACCCTGTGTCCCTGCAGCGACCTGACCAACGGCGTGGACGGGATGCTGGCCACTAGCTCCAGCGGCTCCCAGTACAGCGGGTCCCGGGTGGAAACCCCCGTGTCCTATGTAGGGGAGGACGAGGAGGACGAGGAGGACTTCAACGAGAATGATGAAGAGGACTGAGCCCGTTTCCGGGGAGCACCTCAGGGGGGCCTGTCTCCGGGGAAGCACCTCAGGAAGGCGTTGAGCTGCGCGAGGGTCGGCGCAGCCCGGACACCTGTGGACGCCAGCCGCCGGCAGGCCCGTAGTTGCTCTGTAGGGTTCTGTGTGTTCATCCGCTATTTTTTAAGAATTTCAGTTCGTTTTTGCCCTTCCTCAATTCTTGCTGAGTTTGCTGAAGAAGCTGGACTCCTCTGGGCCCCGGACCCAGCCGGCGCAAGTCTGGCCGGGCGCCCACTGGCAGGCCTGGCCCTCCCGCGGCGGCAGGGAGCCGGGAGCCGGCAGAGCCTGCTCTCACAGCGCTGAGCAGCATAAATTTTATTATGGCTGCTCCCCTAAACCACGGACCACATGATTCCATCAGCTTTACGCTTTCTCAGCGCTCGCAGCGCCCGGCCGCGTCGTCCGTCTGTCTCTGGTTTGGTGGAGTTGGCCGCGGCGGCCGCAGCTGCAGACCGTCTGGAACGCTTGGAATGGTTGTTGCTTTTGGTAAAATTTGCCTGATTTCTTACAGGCAGCATTTGGAAACTTTTTATTATATAGTTGTTTACATATAAGCCTATCATTTAAAGACACATACGGAAACAAGCGTCTTTGTTTCGTAAGCATCTTCCTGTAATCTATTATAAAGTTGAAATTAAATATAGAGAATGTTTTAACAGTTTTTTAACTCAAAATTTGTCAATCATTTTTAATAGTTCTTTTTTTACAAAAAGAAGAGGAATTTCTGGACCGGCGGTGGCCTCTCTCCCGGAATCGGCCGCAGCAGCCGTGGCCGCTCCGCTGCCTGCTCCGAAGAAGTCTTTTTATTGAAACACAAATAAACTTTTCTGTAATATTTTATGGAATATAAAGAGACTTTAATTGTTTGACTTGTTTAACTTGGCACTGTTAGTTTTTATTAATAAAACGCGCATGGGCATTTTACACAGCTGTGTCTCTCGTGCCGGCGGGGTGGGGCTGCGCGTCTGCCGGGCTGGGGCCTCTCCGGGCGGGCCCAGGGCGCCCCTCACGCCCTCTCCCCACGCTCAGATTCTGATCTAGGGCTTCGGTTTCAGGAAAGCTGTGAGTTGGCAGATGGACAGCGGGGAGGGCAGGGAGGGCTGTTCAGGCTGTGGAGGGCGCGCTGACAGCTGAGCAGACTCCATGGGAGGGGCAGGGGCCAGCGCTGCAGAGCAGGGGGGCGGCCGGGTGGGGAGACCAGGCAGCCACTAGACGCATGATGGGCCTGGAGGGCCTTGGAGGGCCTTGGCTCTGACCACACTCACTTGAGGCCCTGGCCCCAGAGGCTGCAGCTGGGAGAGGAACGCTGCAGGCATGTGGTCAGGGCCTGGACAGACCAGCAGTCGCCGGCGAGGGGCCGGCCAATGGCAGGTGGATGGGGACTGTGCGTCCCTCCTGTGGCTGGACACTGCTGTGGGCCGTGAGTGTCTCGGGTGAGTGGTTGGGGTGGGCGGCGGGCTGGGGCCATGGCTCATGGATGACGGTGGGTCAGCCAGGCCCTTGGCGGCGCTGAGACCCGGGAGGCGGCCCTGGGGCAGGCCCCTGGGGGAAGGCAGGGCTCACCCCACTGTGGACCTCCAGGTCCTGGTGTCCCCGAATGGGCCACTACGGGCCGTGTCCCCCGCGGGCAGCTGGCCGTGGGTGCGGCGTGTGTGCAGGGTCTTTGAGGAGCCGGCCTTGTGAGGCCCGAGGGCTGCGCCCCGCCAGCCCCAGAGACCGCAGCCGGCCCTAGGGCCGTCTGCTGGGGACAGCGCCCAGACGGAGCCGCTGCCCTCTGCCCTGCGCCTTGGCCCTGGGCGGCCGTGGTCCAGGCAGCAAGGGGGCGTGCAGTGGGGGGGGTCGCCTCGGCCACGGCAGCCCCCGCCCAGCCCCGAGCCGCGCCCTCACTGCGCCGCCGCCCGCCCCGCCTGGGCCCTCGCGTGTCCACCTGCGAGCAGTGGCCGCCTCCACCCCCCGCCCTAGCTGGGCCCCGCGGGCAGCAGGACTCCGCCCCGGCCCCGCCTCGGCTGCGCCCCTGGCCCCGGCCGGCGCCGCCTCAAGGTCTCCCAGCCGGCGGGGCGTCCGCGTGCCCCGGGCGGGCGGCTCGTGGGCGCGCAGAGAAGCCACGTGGGGCACCGAGGCCGGGCGGGGCTGCGGGGCTGGGGCAAGGGGGGCGGGGCGGGGCGGGGCTTGGGGGCGGGGCTGGGGAGGGGCGGGTATTGGGGCGGGGCTGGGGTGGAGGGCGGGGCTGGGGAGTGGAGGGCGGGGCGGGGCTCGGGGGCGGGGCTGGGGAGGGGCGGGGATTGGGGCGGGGCTGGGAGTGGAGGGCGGGGCGGGGGGCGGGGCTGGGGAGGGGCGGGGATTGGGGCGGGGCTGGGGTGGAGGGCGGGGCGGGGAGTGGAGGGCGGGGGGGGGCGGGGCGGGGGGCGGGGCGGGGGCGGGGCGGGGGGCGGGGCGGGGGGGGCGCGGGGCTCAGGCCCGGGCCGTGGCGCCGGGAGCCGTGGGCCCCGCCGTGGGCTCCTGCTCCTGGATGCGGAGCTTGAACTGCACCTTCCCCTCGTAGGGGTCGTGCGGGTTGTCGAAGGTCACGTGCTCAGCCAGGACCCTGCACTCGACCACCACCTCCTGGTTCCGGGGCACGTTGAGCAGCTTGGCGGCCACCAGCGGGTTGCTGTAGTGGGGCTGCGGCAGAGAGACCTGTCCACGCTCCTCCCCGCGCGCCCGAGGCCGGGGCTTCCTCGCTGGCCAGGGGGCCGCTCGGCTGGGCCCAGCCCCGGACAGGCGTGGCCCTGAGAGGCGAGGGCCAGCAGGGCAGGACGCGCAGTCCGGCTGGCGGACCGCGTGGGGCAGGCCTTGAGGAGAGGCAGGGCCGTGAGGCACGTTCCCGCGAGAGCGGCGCGTGGCGGGAGGCCTGCAGGCCACCAGGGGCCACGCCCGGCCCTTCAGGGGACCGGTGGGCGTCCTCTCGGAGCCTGGCTGAGGGCCGCCCGGCAGCCGGGCCACCTACCTGGGCCTTCTTCCCGTAGTAGGGGAAGTAGTGCAGGCTGAAGGTGCCGTTGGCGGGCCAGTACTCCACCTGCAGCGGCGCGGCGTCCGGGCCGTGCTGGTCCTGCAGGCAGGGCCTCGTCAGGCCAGTGTGCGTGCCCACCGCACACGCCTGTCTGCAGACCCTGCGCACACACTTTGCGGCCGTTCCTGCTCGTGTGTCAGTGCACGGGGGTCTGCCTTCCTTTGCACAAATGCCTGTGTGTGGCGGCGTGTGCATGTGTCTGCAGGCGTGTTGCTGTCCAGCACTCACGTTTGTGTGTGCGTGAGTCTGCATGTGTATGTGTGTGCATGTCTGTGTGTGCACGTGTCTGTGTAAGCACACGTGTGTTCACGTGTCTGCATGTGCATGTGTGTGTGCACCGTGCGGGTGGCCGTGTAGACACTCTATTGTGCAATCGGCATAACCCAGACCTGCTCTTCCTGGTCAGCGCTGAGCCCCTTAGGGGTGTAATTTGTCACTTGCAAAGTCCGTGCGAAGTGACCAAACTTGCGGCCTGACATTTGCGTCCCCCTGGGGTGATGGCCGTGGCCGTCTCCCTCACTCCTCAGGGGACCGCACTGTGTCTGCTCCAGGGCAGGAGAGAGGAGGCCCGTGTGCTGACCGGGCTGGGCCTGCGCGGCGCTTGGGCAAGAACCTCATGTTGGCGCACCGCCCCGTGAGTGCTCCGAGCCCTCTGCGAGACCCAAGTGGCTAAAAAGGCACACGCGGGTGCCCAGGGCGGGGCTGGGAGAAAGGGGAAGTGGGGGTGGGGTGGGGTGGGACTGCCCGGGGTGCGCACTCACCGCAAAGGCACAGTCCACCCTGGGCACTGTCTTGTTGCCGGGGAGGAACCCCACGATCTGCAAGGCAGAGGCGAACAGGGCGGCCCTGAGCGCCAGGGGACGCTGGCCGGGACAGATGGGGATGGAGAAGCCGGGTCTGGGACGGTGACTGAGGGCTGTGGTCTCAGGCACGGGGAGGCCCTGGACAGGAGGGCTTGCCACCGTGTGCTTGCCCCACTCTGTACCCTCTTAGCCCCACACCTGCCGGGCAGGCCTTAGGCAGCACCTGCCCCACATGCCCTCCCCCAGGCATTACAGGCCTGCAGCAGAGAAGCCAGCTGGACGCAGGGCTGTCCCGGCCCATGCACGCGGCCTCCCATGCGCCCACGGGTGCCCAGAGACCCCTGTCCCTCCTGCCCTCTGGGATTTGGCCCATGTGGCCCCTCTGCCACCTGCAGAGTCCCGGGTTTGCTCGTGCCCAGACCAGGGGCCTGCACGCCTGGCCCTGTGCCCACTCCCACCCTTCTGCAGACTCTGGCGGCCCCTGCTGCATCCTGGCTGGCCTGTCCACCCCCCTGACAGTGTGCTGGTGGCTGGGGTCCAGTGCCGCCGGCGTTGTGTGGGCGCAGGGGTTGAGGGTGGCATTGAATTTGTCTGGGAGTGGTGAGCTTACGAGCTGGCTCCGGGCATGTGTGAAGGGCAGGCAGGGCTCAGCATCCAGTGAGTGGCCCCTGGAGTCCGGCGGGGCAGGCGCAGGGGCCCTGACCTCCAGCCCCACCCTGGCCTCCTGGGACTCCCACCCTGGCAGGCTCCGTGCCCCAGAGACCCACCCGGTTCATCTTGATGATAAAGCAGGGCCTGCCCTCTGCGAAGCCGAAGCTGGGGTCCACCCGGCCTGAGCAGCTGCCCAGCATGTCCACCGTGAACTTGCAGGAGAACTTGGTGTGGTTAGCAGCCTGGAACTGGTGCTGCATGAAGTACCTCTGGGTGTGGCAGTCGATGCTGGCCTCCTGGGCAGCGGGCGAGTAGCCTGTGGACAGACGGCACCTGCAGCACTGCCCTGGGCACAGGACCCTCGGCCCAGGGCACCCGCGTACCTGCCAGGAAGTCGCGCAGCATGAGCACCAGGCCCGCCCAGGAGCGGTTGTCGGAGACGCTGTAGGAAATGTCCAGGCCCCGATCCCCGTAGACGTCCGGCCGCAGGGTCACCCCTGGAAGAGAGCACTGGGCACTGGTGTCTCGGGGTCAGGCTGCCCAGGGGAGGCTGGGGCACCCCCGCGGGCCGCACTCTGTCCAGGTCCCGGCTCTGTCCCCGCACATGCCCCCAGCCCCCCTGCGCAGCCCGTGGCCCAGCCCCACCTGGGGACTTCAGCTGGTCCTGGTAGTCGGGCGTGTAGGGGTCCAGTGTCCACATCAGCGTGTAGAGGCTCAGGGCGAAGAGGCCGGTCATCACCACGTAGAAGCCCACGTAGTAGAGGCTGATCCACACTGCAGGAGCACGGGCGCGGCTCAGGCGACCCCAGAGCTCTGGCCGCCCCCCATCCTGGGGCCCAGGTGACCCCGTGGAGCTCAGGCGACCCCGTGGGGCTCGGCGACCCTAGGGGCCGCTCTCCGTCCACTCTCCCACGTGGTTCCAGAGCATCCTTGTCCCTCTAGACGCCCCGACAGCCCCCGGGACCACCTCCCGATTTCCCGCTGGACCCCATGACGGGGCAATCCCGCCCCCTCCACCCTCAGGGCCCTGGAGCCGCTCAAGGCCATCTGTGCTCCTGGGGGGCTGCATCTCCCCACTTGCAGGGAGGGGCCGTGGGCAGTGTGGACAGGGTGGCCCTGGGTAGTGAGGCCTGGCCTTCCCGGGTGGGCAGCGTCTTTAGCAGGGACATGGGAGCCTCTAGTGTGCCCTGCGGTTCTCCAAGAGGGGGTCCTCTGCAGGGGGGTCCTCCATGGGGGGCTCTGAGGGGGGAGGGTCTGCCGCCTGCTGGAGGGTGCTGGGGGCAGCCATGGGCGGGCGTCGCCTGGGCTCTGCTGCTCAGGTCACACCTTGGAGGGCGCTTCTGAGGCGCATCAGGCAGCCCCAGCAAAGAGCACCTGGAGCCCCGAGGTCCCCCTGTCTGGGGAACAGCCTGGCAGCTACCTCGGGGCTCTGCAGGCCCCACCCTGCTTTCTAGGGTCGGAGCAGCAGACCGCAGAGTGGCTGGTCTGAGGCACCAGCCACGCTCCCTCCATTGAGCACCCCCAGCGCTCTCAAGGGGTCGGTCTCGGGAGCGGCCTCTCGCAGCCCTTGTGCAGCCTCGGGGGGACTGGGGGGCCGTGCCTGGGCGGGGGTCCCCCGGAGGCCCAGGGCAGCTGCGGCCTACCCCAACGCGCCGGCGTCCGGCCCAGCACCTGGCCCGTGTCGGGGTTCCAGCAGAAGCGCCGGAACTCCTCCATCCGCTGCCCGCACGTCTTCTTCTCCTGCAGCGCCGCCATGGCACCCACGCACCCAGCCCGCGCCCAGCCGTGCCGCACAGCCCAGCCACGGCCTTTATAGGCCCTCGTGCCACAGCCGGGCAGCGAGGCTTATCAGCCTGTGTCCACAGACGCCAGCCCTGGGCTATCGGGGCCCCACCCGCACCTGCCGGGGAGCCGCGCCCGCCCTGAAGGTCGCCCGCCGAAGGTCGCCCGCCAAAGGTCGCGTCGAGCTGCCCGCCCAGGGCTCCTCCGGCGGGGTGAGACCCAGGCAGGTCACACCCTTCCTGGTCCGAGCGTGGGGTCCGTGCTGCCTTGGGGGGGGGGCGCCCCGAGACCCACCAGGGCCTGCGGGGCCCCAGGCGCCCCCGTGGCTCTGGCCTCCCCGGGGGCAGACGAGGGCCCAGGGTACAGTGGGGGCTCCTGCGCCCCGGACTCCGGCGGGGCCTGTGGGGGGTTGGCCCCCAGCCTGCCTCTTCCAGGGGCAGATTCGGCCCCGGCCCGGCTGGCGGGGCGCTGCGTCCGGGGCGGCGCTCGGGGGCTGGTGGGCTCCTGGTCCTGCCAGGCCGGCCGCCGGCCTCCTCCCCGGCAAGCGCCCGCCCGAGCAGCCGAGTCCCAACCCCCCAGGAGGGCAGGGGTGGCCACACTCAGCTGAGGCCCTCGACGGGGCTTGCGCCCAGAGACGGGCCTTCACTCCGCCGCGTCCCGCCCGAGGGCCCGGCCCCACCTGCGGGTTTCCTTGGGAGGAATGAGGCCCGCACCTGTGCCTCACCCCTGCGGGCGGGGACGCTCCCGGCAGTGTACATTACATGGGGGCCCGCTCCCCCGGCCACGGCCCGCACCCCGCCTTGCTGGATGGGCCCCGCTGGGCGTGGGCCCAGGGGCGGGGGAGGTGCTCCTGTCCTTGCCACGCCTGGCCTGGGACTGGGCTGGACTTGGAGGCCAGGACCCATCGGGGCGTCGGGTGCCTGGCAGGTACCAAACTGCTGCCCCAGGAGTGGGATGTGAGCTCTTTCTGGAACCCGCCCCCCGTGGCCTCTGAGATGCAGACACGTGGGGTGTGTGCTGGGCTACTTCCTCTGTGGGGCGGAGAGGCAGGTGTGCCCAGGTGAGTCCCAGGTCTGCCTGAGGTGCCTCCAGGTGTGTGCCAGGTATCTCCCAGGTGTTTCCAGGTGCCCCCCAAGTAACCCCAGGTCAAGTTCCAGGTGAGTCCCATGTGAATTCCAGATATCCCCAGAGATACCCCAGGTACATTCCAGGTGTCCCTCAGGTGCGCCCCAGGTGAGGTGCGCCCCAGGTGAGGTGTGCCTGCTGGGTGCCTGGCTCCCTGCCCGCCCTCACACTGCCGCCCCCAGTCCCGCTTGCCTGATGCTCCCTGGCATTTGGCTTCAGGGCATATCCCAGGGGAGGGGAGGGAAACCCGAAGCTACCAGGCCTGGGGCGCCCCAGCCTCGGACCTCGATCCCGACCAGCTCCCACGGGGCTCCCCCAGCGCGGCCCCCACTTTGTCCCCATTCCTCCCCCAGGCCCCATGGTCACCCGCTGTTTCCTCAAAGTGAAGCGGGCTGGGGCGAGCCTGCCCGTCCCTGCGGACACGGCTGCCCAGCCCTGACCGGCTGTGCCGACGGCCACGGGAGCGGGGGCGGCCACTGGCCGCTAATCCCTCGGGCAGGTCAGGGGATCGTCTGTCGGGCACCGGCCGGCTGCCCGAGCATCCTCCTTGGCCTGGCCGGCTTTGGCCTGCGCCATGGCAGTGCTGAGCCCCGAGCCCACGTGGCGCCGTCACCCTTGCAGGGCCGACGTGTCCTGCGTGTCCCGGAGGGCAGGGCCAGCAGGCCAGGCCCGCTCCGGAGGACACGTTGCCGGGACCCCTCCTGCCTGATGGGTCCGGTGCCGGCAGGGACTGCAGGTCCCTGGTGGTGGCCAACTCGGCCTCATCGCGGCCTGGGGCAGCCTTGGCGGCTGCGCCCAGGGCAGGAAGCACCAGCCGAGCCACTGCGAGGCCCGGTGGGGCAGCCTAGACGTGGCCTGGGAGAGCGTGTGTGCCCAGCAGCCCACTGCAGGTGGCTCTTCCGGCAATTCCCAAGCAGCGAGGAGAGGCCCACACGGGCCTGGGGCTCTGGGGTACATCGAGGACCGCGGCGTGGCTGCCGCCAAGCTCCGGCTGCAGAAGGCCCGGGCCATCCTTGCTGCCCATCTGGACCACTAGGCCACCTCTTCTGACGCTTCCTGGATGAGGACAAGGTGGTGCGGGCCCGGCAGGGGCCTTGGGGCGACAGGGAGCAGCTGCTGTGCGCCCTGCCACGGCCACGCTGGCCCCTGAGGCGGGCGCCTTCCAGGAGCTCCTCGGCAGCCTGAGCTCCCTGCGCTTCCTGCAGGGGAAGTGGTTGGAGGCACAGCCCGCGGGGCAGGGCTGGGTCCTGGACCTGCGGGTGCTGGGCAGGGGTGGCCTCGGGGAGGTCTGGGGGTGCCAGGCGAAGGGGCCAGCCGGGCACGCCTGCAGGAGGCTCAGCAAGGAGAGGCTGAGCACGAGGAGAGGCCACCAGGTGGGCAGGGCGGGCCCAGCTGCCCTGTGCGAGTGTCTGGCCGCACCCCCTGCGTGCCTTTGGCGTGCCCCGTGGCAGAGGGCAGGCTGGAGGGGTGGGCGGGGCGACGGGGGCTGCGGAGAAGCTCCCTGCTGCTGCTCTGTGCAAGGGCGTGTTTGGTTGTGCTTGCATGTGGACAAGTGTGTGTACGTGTGCACATGCGTGTGCGTGCCTCTCAGGCGGCTCCCCGCGTGCTGGGGCGCTGGCACGTGGCGCGTCACCCCAGCCGAGCTGCCGCCCCCTCCCGGGCCGCCATGTGGAGAGGAAGTTGCCGCCAGAGAGCACAGCAGTTTCGTGGGGTCCCCAGCCTGGGGGGTCCCCAGCCTGCGCAGTCCATAACCGGCCTCTGCCCGGTGATGACCACCACGAACGGGGGCGACCTGGCGTAGGTCCGCGGGCCCGGGGGTGGGGCGGGGCTGGGCACGGCCGGGCCGGGCTCTAGAGGGGACCAGCCGGCAGGACACCCCTGTAGTGAGTGGTTGAGCCCCAGTTGTCTGGCGCTGTCGGGAGGGTGTTGGTCCTGGCGGGCGCCTGGGGGTCCTGCGGGGTCCTGCGGGTCTTCCGTGGGTGGGCAGCGGCACACCAGGCCACACCTCCTGACGTGCGCTGCCTGTGCGGCCTCACGCTTCCCATGTGCCCCCTGCACTGGCCGCAGCACGGCCGCCGGGCCTGCTCAGCCCGCACCTGGGCGTCCGCCCCGCCCGCTGCCCGCTCCTCCACGCCCACCAGGCCCTCTGCGACCGCCTCATGCCTGGCCGTGCCGCAGGGCTGACCGCACTGCCCACGGCGCTGTTCCACTCCCCGTCCACGTTCTGGACGCTGCGGCCTGGCCGGGCTGGCCTCCTGCTTGGCGGGCGCTCCTCCTGCACGCCCGCCACGCCACGCCACGCCGCACCCCACGCTTGCCCTGCGGCTCACCTCCGTCCCGCCCTGTTGCCCTGCAGCCGCCCTGGCACCACATCTGCAGCATGAACGAGGAGCGCCCTGGCCGGCAGGAGCCACGCGTGTCCTCCACGCCGTGCAGGTGGTCAGCGGCCTGGGACCCAGGTGAGCCCGGAGAGGCAGGGTTGCCGCGCCGGCCGTGGGGGTGGCAGAGCCCGGGTCGCTGGCCTGGGGCAGGCGGCCTGGCCAGGGTGGGGCATCAGGACTGAGGTCCCCGCCAGAGTCTCGGCTGGGCCGGCAGGTGACCTCCAGGGGAAGCAGCCCCTTCTCTGGCTCTTGGCCGGTGGCGTGTGCTGGAGCCAGAGGGCTCGTCCGAGCGCCCCGTCCTGCAGCCCCGGGGCCGAGGCGAGGCAGCTGGCCTCCCGCGGTGGCGGGTGCGGGTGGGGCTGTGCCGGGGCTGCCCTGTTGTGGCTCCTGCACGCGTGTGGGCGGTGCGCGTGTCCAGCCGAGAGCAGTGCCGTGTGCACGTGGGCGTGTCAGTGCGTGTGCGTACACTTAAACGCCTCCGCAGCCGCGTACCCTGCCTCGTTGCCGCAGGCAGCCAGGCGAGCGCGGCCCCACATGCCCTCGTTGAGGGCATGGCTCTCGCTGCTGCTTTTGGGGCGCCCCACTGGCCTCACCCGGGTTGGCTGCCTCCTTTCCCAGCACTTCTGTAGTGTAGGACTCTCAGCAAACCTTCAACTGGCTCTGGGGACAAAGCCCGCTGCCTGGGTCTGGGACCGTCCGGTCTGTTCTGTGCCCCAGAACCCCCGTCCTGCTGCTTTGGGCCCCTGGGCCTGTCCTCTGGGGTCCGTCCTCCCCCTTGCTTCTTTAGGGAGGGCACTGTCTTGAGTTCCCTGGGTCCTCGGCTCCCTTCCCTGAGGTCCCACTCCTGGGTTCGAGTGTCTCAGGGTATTAGGATCATTGGGGGACCTCCCAGAGACCTCACCCTGGAAGTCAGCCCTAGAGGTTTGGGCCCAGGATGAACCCCACTGGTGCAGGCACGGGGCCCGCCCAGCCGTGCCCCCCCCCACCCCGACTTTGCTGCAGCCACGCCCCCTCCACCGAGGGCTGCTGGCAAGGGCTCGGCTGGAATGGGCCTCCCCGGTGGCCTACAGGTTAGTCTCAGGCTGTGACCGCTGCAGCCTGCGTCCATCCTTGGGCAGGGAGCTACCCCCAGGGCGCACAGACCTCTCCTGTCTCCCCGCTGCTCCCCTCAGCAGTGGATTTCGTCAGTCTGCCTGTTCTGCTCCCCACTCTGTCTCTGGGGCGTCCTCTCACCCCCGCACCTCTGGCCTGCACCCCAGCTCTTCTACACACCCCAAAAAATTAAAATAAAAAATAAAGTCAGGGTGTGGGAAAGCTGGGGCCAGCAAAGTCACAGCCCCGTCCCCATCCTCTGCTGCCAGCCTGGCCCTGGGAGTCCAGCCAGGCACGAGTGGCCGCAGGGCAGGAGGGAGTGGCCAGCATGTGGGTCCCCACCCCGCGCGCCCACCCCCAGCGGTGGCTCCCTCA